TCCAGACGGCCGTGCGCCTGCTGCTGCCCGGGGAGCTGGCCAAGCACGCCGTGTCCGAGGGCACCAAGGCCGTCACCAAGTACACCAGCGCGAAGTAAAGTTGCCAAGTAAGAATATTTAACCCAAAGGCTCTTTTAAGAGCCACTAACCTGTCAATATCAGAGCTGTAACTACATGTTGAGAATCGAGGCTCAAGTTCAGGCGGTTTCTTTGAGGCAACCATGAGGATTCCATTGCAGTGAGTAATGCCTACTGTGCCCGCAACCGCCTCTGGCAGGAAGGAAACCGGATGTGCTGTGAGTTGACTCTTGAGCGGGTTTGCAGCAAACATTCTAGTATGCCCCTTAACGGGAGAGTAACACAAGTTTGTATACGTGTGTTGTGTGAACTAAAAATGATTCCTGGCTGTAGCGCGAATGTGGGTCCTTCGGTTGTGAGCAAGAGCGGCTTCCTGTCGATCCTAACAGCCTTTTGTCTTGTGACTTTTCTCCGTTAGGCGTTCTAATCTGCCTTTATTGGTAAGTTCAGTCCCCACTGGTCTTCCAAAGCCAGCCTTTTACCTCCGGTTATCGCATGTCCTAGGCGGCACGATATAATGAGAAAGATACTGTGTGCCGGAGGGGACGTTAGATTCGTAGAGCAGTGCCTTCATCCAGCTTGGGGGAAGAAAGTTGGCCTCTCCGGCCCATTTGGGACCGGGACAGTGCCAGACCACCCTGAGGGAGAGGTATGCAAGGCAAAGATAAGCTTACCTTTTCTCCTGAGTAAAGAAATGGAATACAAGGGCTCGCAATAATGTGGCTAGCTTACTGGTTTGTCATACTGCCAGAGAGAGAAGGGACAGGTGGTGTAATGGAAAATAAGGGCATATAAGTAACCGTTGGAATCTCGTGCCTCTACTGATTTGAGTAAATTAAAGTCTGTGCATCTGTTCGCCCATCTGTAGGAGAGCATTGATCTGAACTTTGTGGATTATGTGCTCTCCAGAGAGAACATGAAATCTGTGTGAATAGAGATGATAAAAGTGACTTTCTTAGGCCCACAATCGGATCTACTGTGGAAGAGGTCGGAATAACGATCAGATTGGGAGAGTCACGAGCTGTCCCTGATACTTGTCCTGATACACGTCTGCCATTTCTTCCTCATGGGACTAGGACTACAGCCGACTCTTGGTGATGGCTTCTCTAGCTGCGCTAAGCAGAGAAGAATGGTTAAAAACGTTATAGGTTCGTGTTATAGAATATATTTGTGACTTGGTTATTTGACTTGGCTGGCAGTGCCTTTATTTTGCCATTTTAAAATGAGAATAATAAAACCGATCAAGATTACGCGAGAGAGTCCACGGAAGGTATTTACCACAAATTGAAACAAATTATAGGCAGGATTTCTTCTCTTTCACTCTCCCTTTTGTCTTTCATGACGGCTTGCAAATTTTAGGCATTCGGGCCATCAATCATGGCTTACTAAGAGAGTAGGACGATCAGTTGCCAGTAATTTCAGAAAAGTTTCCATCTCCAAGCCCAATAATGCCATGAGCAGCCTAAATTTCGTCCACTTGTGCCTGCATTTCTTTGAGGAACCGAGGGAAATAACTCCTGTACGAACAGGCATCACTTGCCAGAACTCCTAAGAATATAAACCCAACATTATTAGACCTGACTCCAAAATAGCCAAAAATCTTGTAAGAAAGTAAACAACTTTGTTACGATCAGAGAAATGCAATTTAAATACATGAGATACAATTTAGCAAATGCGGACAGGCAAAA